TACTTGTGGAAAGTAGATTCAAATAATCGAGGCAGTGTTAAATTAGAACACGGTAGTCTATGGTCAGAAGACGCTAACTGATCATGTGAGGATGATAAGTCAGACAGTCGTTGTTATGAATAGATCTCATTAAAGTAATCATGTAAGAATTGCGATAAACTGAGAGGACTTTTGTTTGAGCATGAACGCTGACTCATATTTACACAGGTTACGTCGAAAGTTCCTTATGGCTGCCGAAACCATTGTCGATAGCTTTGTGTGTTCAAATGTAAGGTGGGTTTTTTTCTATTTAGGAGAAAATTTTTGATCATTGATCTCGAAGAACTTCCCACACATCCAAAAAAACGTATTTCGCAATCTTTATACCTTTGTTCTTTTCAATTACGTCCCTCTTTATGTATCGAAATAATGTTAGAATCTGTGGCCTTTTTTCTCATTGTAGAGAATAAGATGCATAATAATGCTTCACATACAATGATCCACAGTGTCATGAGTAGTAAATCCTGCTTCAGATCCTCTGCCGCTAGATTCAAGAAAAGTGTGCTCCGAAACTGCATCGAATCGGGTTACATTTCTTAGGTTGATAGAGACTAGACTTAGTTTCTGACTTGGTTATCTCCATTGTAGAATGCCTTTATAGGGTATGTGTACATTCTATGATGTATTATCTTCCTAGCTCTAAATCTGAAAAGACGGTTCAATTGGTCTTGAGAATGCTGAGCGTCACACCCTATTTTACTCCTAGTCGTCCTTATATGGCAGTATGCATGCGCTCGTTTCATGATAGTTTCACAGCTACAATATGCGTCTTTGTTTTGGATTTCAAGATGCTTCGGTATTTGAACGAATACAAAATTGGAAGCTCACATCTAGGCAGAAAGACTGCCACTTCGTAGTTACAATCTCTTAGTTGTTGTTGGCAACGGATTTCAGCGATATTGTGATGATAGACTGATTCATACATTATTGTCTATGGTTTGCCCCAAATCTATGATAGATGCGGACGAGAATCCAAACCCAATGGAATTTTTCCACGCTCAGAAGACGCATCACATATTTAGGGAGACGTTCTCCGTTATGAAATATAACCATCCATACTGCAATCGGGTTTTTTGATTGCTTACTACATGGGATCGAATCGCTAGTTTTTAGTAATGCTAGTGAGAGACTATAATCTTCAGATTCTGCACTACATCGGTCTGGATAATCACACATATCGGGAGATTTGATGGACGAAAGAAACAAAAAAATCAACCAGAGAAATCATGAGCAAGAAAAGTACATGACTGTGGATGTGGCTGTTGGCGAAAAGAAAACCATCACCAACACTCGCACCCACACCCCGCACTCTGAAGACCTCGAGTACACATGAAAATAGCAAAAAATGATGTGTCATTATTTACGTTTCTATGAGCATTTGGGCATGTTGCTAGCACTTTAACCCTATACATATTTATACCAAAAGGTGCGCCTTTCAATGGGCTACAACATTTCCAAAATTCAGTCTGGGACCCTGTAACGAGAGGTGCCAATAGCGTCACCAAGCACACAAAAGCATATGAACAAAAATGAAAAAAATAAAGATATTTTCTATATTTCAATGATTGTTGAACAGGCTACTCTTTGTAAATAGAAATACCTTCTATAGGGTTTTGTAGATCGAATTATGCTCTATCTTTTGGTATAAGATAGTGATTGCTTCGATGAAGTTTTTATGTTGAAATGTTTGACGAATGAGAAACAATTTTTTTTTCGCAAAATGAATCATTTTTTCAAACATCGATTATTACTGGAAAAAAGTCGATATACCAAATCTCCTCAACACATCATCCCAAAGACTTAAAAATTTGTTCTTAGACCTAACTTTTTACGCTCTTTCGCCCTGGCTAATCAGTTTCAAGATGTCAAATTTTTCGGCACCCGACTATGTCTTTCTTGGGTACTGGTTTCGTGGATTCTCTCTTAACGATTATCCTAATAACGTTCGTTAAGATTTCTTTTTGTTAGCTTCAATTTTTTATACTCAAATATTCTTTAATTATTTTTTTAAAATAAATACACTTCGAAATCCTTATTTTGATTTTAACATGCTTTAGATTCAATCACTGGATTCTCTTCATGATAATAAATTAGATTTTTAACAATATTTTTATTATTTCGATTATTTTCCAAATTAGTATTTTACAAATAAAAAAGAAAGCATAGATGCTGTCTCTTTATAAAGATGATAGAATCGCTAAACTTGGAAAATCATTTAATAATCGATAATAACTTATCAAGAAATATTCAAGTTTCATAATAAGACATCAATATTAGTATGAAATCTCTATGATTACACGTCTATTAATAGGTAAATCAATGATAGTAACCATTCCATAATCTCTAGTGTTATTATAAGTCACTGCAGAAAGTCCGATATATTTAAAATCAACAAATAACATTCTATAATAAAAATATCTTCAACATAGTTTCATCTGATTGATTTATCTACATATTTCTTTTTATAAAAAAATCCTTTGTTAAAATAATTGATCATCAATGATTGATTCTCATTTCAACAATGTCCGTCAAGCATAACTCGTCACATATTCATATACATATATATATGCGTCTATTCGAACTTCAGTCGAACACATTATATCAATAATGAAATATTTATCAAGTATGTGTATGGAATTATTTGATAATATCCATTTATTTTTTTTTCTTGTTTTCTACAGAAGACAATGTTCAACTACTCGATTTACCTGATGAAATAATTTTAACTATTATGAATAAAGTCAAACCTCGCGTGTTATTACTTTGCTCTATTATTGCTATTGGTAACAATCGTTTGGAACAACTTGCACTTGATAAATGTCAAGCAATCGATTTGACTTGTAATTACTTTCAATTACAAGATCAATCACTTTTTCAACAACGATTTTATTCACATGTCATGCCTCGTATCTTCAATAATATTCAATCATTGACACTCTATATTCAACATCTTCCGGATATTGTCAGTTTTGCTGAAAAAAATTCTGATAGAATTTTTCCAAATTTGACACATTTGAAAATAATGATTTTTAAGCGAAATCCTAAAACATCGACATCATATATACTAGGTAAATTATTCTTAAATATATTTTTCCAAAGATCTTACGTACTATTTATGTTAATTTTCTATTTAACAAATATGTGAGATTTTATGAATTAACTAATTTGAAAATGTCTTATTTGCATTTTGTGCTAAAGAAGTTTATGCGTTACTTTTCTACAGAGAACTTTTACACATTTTAAAGAAATTATTGGAAAACCTATCACATCATTTTACTTCTATTTTGAAATATCACTGATTCTCCTAGAAAAATACTAGTTAAAAAAAATATATATAGAAAAGCCTTTTTAATTCAATATTATCAGAAAAAACAAAAGATTACATTGAAAAAATATTAGATTATATCATATACACATATATATTTTAGGTTATGGTATTTACAGTATTTTTCGTCATTACCCTCTTGTCTCAACTGTACCTAATTTAATTCGATTAACTGGGTCTTCTAATGGTAAAATCTTATCTAGTTTTTGTTCTTCGACACTAATACCTTCTATTATATCATTTGAACTTGATGATGACTGTGTTTTACCACATGTATCGAATGATTACTATTTATTCTTTCCTCAATCAATTCAACTGTCACATATCCAAATAACATTATGTTATGTTGATGATTGCATTTGTTTACTAAAACAATTGGGTCCACAACTCTATTCATTGATTGTGAGCATTGTATATGTTGATAGTACAACAACTTGTATTATATCTAAAATATCATTAGTAAGTTATATTTCTTAATTTTAAATTTCATTCAATTTATTTATTTAGATTTTATGTCCAAACTTAAAACAGTTGACAATGAAAATCTATCGTAATTTTGATGATTATAAAAAATGTATTGTACCTCTTCTACAACGTTTGTCAAATGTTGAATATTTAACATTATTATTAGCTATTGGTGAAACAGGTGATACGCCTAATCATTTTATTGATGGATATGATTTAGAGAATGATATTATTTCATACATGCCTCATTTATATCAATTTAATTTTCACATTCGTTCCATATTACAGAACGCTCCGCATATTGAACTTGACACAATTCGTCAAAGTTTTTTTCGACGACAACAACAGTCTGTTGATTGTACAATCGACTATTTCAATAATAACTATGGTCAATGTCAAATATATTCACTTCCATTTATTGGTACTTGTCTTGAATTTATTTCCAATCGATTTCCACTCTTTGATACCACTAACACATTCTGCATGGTTACTATGCTATTACTTTTCGATGATATCAAACCATTCGAAAGTGTTTTCTTTGAACGTATAGCTCGAGCTTTACCTCATCTCAAAATACTTGAAGTATTTAATAAACTTGAACAACAAGAGAAGATAACAGCAACAATAAACAATCTTAAGTTTACTCATTTAACTACACTGATTCTATTTGATATTCATATGGACTATGCTGAACAATTACTTTGTCGAACTTGTCTTCCTTGTTTAAACGAACTTGCTATTCGTAATGATATACTGTTAGCAATAATCGCTCAAAATCAACATCAAACAATAGATAATTGTTCTAGAGTAGAACAATTACGAACCTCTGAACCATTATATGACTCACTAAATGTTCTTCGAAATTATTTTCCACCAGATTCTTATGTAAAACATGAGAAAGAAACACAAGCAACATAAATTAATTCTATAAAATTATAATTAACTATTTCTCTTGGCAAAGTTTTGTTTTTGAATAGTCAATATAATAGAAACATTGTGGAAATCTATCTTGATTCAAATATAATACTAAAGAAAAATTCATATCTCATTTTATTCATTAATAAATGAAATATATCTTCAAAATTTTATTTCTTTTTGAATAGATAACATAATTAACAAAAGAAAAACATAAAAATCTTTTGTTTTACCAAAAAAAAGTTAATATATTTCATTATTTTTCAACTGAATGAATAAATTCATAATATGCTTGTGTAATGCGCTCAATTGATTTAATTTCAGGTGCAACCATACCTTGAAAAGTTTGTCGATCCATCATCATACATGTAACCTGATCCCTGGCTTTCAGTGCTACATGAGACGGAATATTAAAAAAGATTGGTAATGCACCGAAATAATCACCTTCACCTAATATTTTTAATACAACTTCTTGATCTGGTGATGATTTTTTCGAGACCACAACCTGCCCTAAAATAAAAGGATTTGTTTTAATGAAGAAAAAAAATAATGTTTTTATTTTCTATTACTTACCGCTAGTAATTATGAAAAAGAAATTGACTTGTTCTTCTTGTGTAATTATATATCGATCAGAATTGAACGTAATTTGACGAAATCCATAGGATCGTCGATTTGGGCTGAACTAAGGACGATTTCAGTTCAAGACAAAGCGAGTTTTTAAGAAGATTGTATCATAACTTGTTGTGATAATTTGACATTTGTTCTGACTGTGGTGTGGACGAATCGAACTGTGTTCGTCAAGAGAAGACACTCATTAATATCTATATTTCTGAGCCGTCTTTTTTAGAACATCATTTTTTGTATTTATGATTTTTGTCTATAAATGCTTTTGCACCCCAATAAGTGATCTCCATTTAATGTTCGATTCTATTTTACTATCATAATTATATAGTCTGTTCAAAATCAAAAACAGCTGATGACATTAATAGTAACAATTATGTCTGACGAACTCAATAAATTGCAGTCAATTAAGAATAAAAAAAAGCATTACTATATTTTAGCGCACTCTACAAATTACAGCTCATTAAATTGAAATAATGAAACTCAATCTTTAGCGAACTCTATAAATTTCAACAAGTTTAAAAATATAATTGAAATTTTAATTTGTTTTAAAATTGTTATCAGTAAATATTTTTGAAATTTGAAAATCGAAAATTTAAGACCTAAGATTATTTTAAATTTGAATAAATTAAATTTAAAAAACAACTGAAATTTAATTTAAAGAGATTTTCAATTTCGATTTTATGTTCGCAAATGAGAGGCCACGGGCTACAACATATCCAAAATTCAGTCTGGGACCTTGTAAGGAGAGGTGCCAATAGTGTCACCAAGCACACAAAAGCATATGAACAAAAATGAAAAAATAATGATATTTTCTATATTTCAATGATTGTTGAACAGGCTACTTTTTGCAAATAGAAATACCTTCTATAGGGTTTTGTAGATCGAATTATGCTCTATCTTTTGGTATAAGATAGTGATTGCTTCGATGAAGTTTTTATGTTGAAATGTTTGACGAATGAGAAACAATTTTGTTTCGCAAAATGAATCATTTTTTCAAACATTGATTATTACTGAAAAAAAGTCGATATACCAAATCTCCTCAACACATCATCTCAAAGACTTAAAAATTTGTTCTTAGACCTAACTTTTTACTCTCTTTCACCCTGGCTAATCAGTTTCAAGATGTAAAATTTTTCGGCACCTGACTATGTCTTTCTTGGGTAGTGGCTTCGTGGATTCTCTCTTAAAAGCGTTCACTATACACAAGTAGTCAGTTTAAAAAGTTGATGCATGGTTTGCTGTGAAATGAAGAAACTGTTTAAGAATATCTACTTTTAGACTACATCTTGTTAAAAAACTGGTCATCAATGCTTGTTTTTTTGCTCGTCTATTTTCATCTAAATGATTTAAATTGAAAGGTTTTTCAACTATGATACAAAATTTTCCTTTTTTTGTAAAACCCTCTCAGATTATTTAGTTATCTGCTTTTGAAATAATATCAATGTCAAAGGAGAATATCATTGAAGAACAAAATTACTTGGTAATTTGAGTTATATTCTACTAAATAATGACGAATTAACACTATTACGTGTTTCACAATCAAAAATATAATATTGTTTCCCAGATCTGAGTGTACAATTTGTTAGCTTTCACTTATATTACTGATACTTTGAAAACAACAATCACAGTAAAACATCGAATTATTCTTATCCCTACTTATCTTCTGAATTAAACGATCATAAACTATCCTTTAAAAATAGCATCATCATTTCATTCATTTTCAATAGTTTCTTGCTACGATGCATACATATTGGTTTTTGAGCAATAATAATAACTAACGTGTAAATTCTTATCACGCAATAATTTTAAGAAGGATAAAGAACAACATGCATGTCTTACAGCAAATTTTCTATATTTAAAGGAATTACCATGAGGTATGTTATTAAGCGAATATCTTCATGTATTTACTCATTGTGTCATAACTACCAAAAAGAAAACAAAAGAAAATATACAAAAAAAAGTGAAAGAAGCAGACGAAGATTAGTAAATACATGCAAAGACTAAAATATTATTCAACAGAGAAAAATTTAAACGACAAAAAAATTGTGTAATACAGAAAACACTATGACCTTTATTTCTTGTCTCTTTATTTTGGTATATGCATTTGTGAACTCTCATAGAATAGGAAAAAATATGCTTTTTTTTCCTGTTATTAGTTAGCATGAAACACATAATCTGTAAGTATCACATATTCTAATAGGACAAATAACAACTACTACTTGCAGAAAGACAAAAAAAAAATTCAATAAATAAATAATGGAAATCGAAGTTGGAAATGTGCGTCCTTTTAGTGTTAAATCTTATTTGGATGATGTCTATGATAGACAAAGTCATGGTGGACAGCATGAAAGTCTTCGACATCAGTAAGTTCATAGATCTTTCTCAGTTTATTACATTGAAAAAAAATGATTTTCTAAAAGTAAAATATTTTATCACCAACATTCTTCAGTATCTATGATCGTAATAAAGTGGTACATAGCTTATTTACTTATGAATATGAAATTCTCAAAACATGATTGAGACCCAATAATAACATTTCAAATTATATTTGCGTTGATAAATACAATTTTTAAAATAGAAATTATCATCAGCAGAGTTTAATGATTCGTTTATCGATAATATTTTTATTAATTTTTTTTTCCTAATCATTATTGATTTAGATATTTAATTTCTTCTCGTCGTTCAAAATTTTTCAACTATTGGTGGAAGTTACCCCTTTGGTTTGGTTCATTTTTTATTCTTTTCGGTATCTCTCTGCTTCTAATTGGTTTTTTACTTCCACGAAAAAAAATCGATATTAATTCTCAATCTATTATCATTGATCGACAAGCAATTGCTTATAATACAAATTTAGATAGAAGTCATTTATGTGGAATATGTTTTGTTGTAGCTGGTAGTGCTTTATTTTTCCTATCACTTATCATATCTACGTTTCGCAATAGATGTTGTGCTGTTAGTAGAGATTCAAATGATGAAATAGATTCATGAAAGGTATAAATAAACGCATTTTTGTTTGTAAAAATGAATTTTTCTTTTTTCTTTTTTGTTGTCATATAGTTGAGAATGGAAGTATCAAGTGAAGACTTTACAAAGTATATCATAACCAATTCAACCACATTCTTACAAAAAATAAATCAAGATTAACAATAGAAAAAATCATGCCTAGAGCGTCATCTTAATTATTGTGTAAATTTTGTGGAAAAAAAAATAATTATCTATTCGCTTTAATTGTATATAGTATTTATCATTATTGTGATTAGTTCAAAATTAATTAAAGACTTATTCAAATATCTTAGTATAGTATTTAATCTTCATATAATTTATATTTTATTGTAATCTATAGTTTTTTTTTTCAATTCATATTTTCATGATTGACATAAAATGAAAAAGTTTGTCTGCATCGAATTTAACCAAGCTGGTCTTAACAATTATCTATAAATCATATGCTTGGTAGTTTTTCATTGATATATACAATCAAAGTTTCTGGATAAATTTATAAAAGTTTTGCTTGGAAGTGTCTTCAAAAGATTTGCATGCAATTTTTTCTTAATGAATATTTGAAACAAAATCGTTTTGTACACTATCAAAACGTAAAGAAATATAGTTCATCAAATTAACTAATGTCAGCGGCAGGTGTAACCCACGGAAAAATTTTTCAAGAAAAAACCGCGGTTTCATAAACCGCGAAAGTCAGACCTTTTATGCGGTTTTTGAAACCGGCGAAAATCACGGTTTGCAAATACCACGGTGAGAACCGAGAAAATCGCGGTCCGAGCTGAGTTTTTGCAGGTCTAACCGCGGTTTTCTCGGTTCTCATCGCGGTATTTGCAAACCGTGATTTTCGCCGGTTTCCAAAAACCGCATAAAAGGTCTGACTTTCGCGGTTTTTTTCGGAAGAATTTTTCCGTGGGAAGTTCAATAACTCGACTATGATAACAAGTATTAACCTATAGTTTTCAGCAATCAAAAGAGCAAAATTTCGAAAGTCTTTTTGTTTCATATTAGATAAGACAAAATTATTTTAAATTACATCATCTTTCTCAAAATTTTAAAACCAATACATCGAAGCAATGTTCTATGTTAAGGAAATTTCGATTTCGAGATGTACTTCAAATAGAAGGACTTTGGATCTAGAGTTAAACGCCCAATTCAGATGATTATCTCCTTGCATATCAATGTTAAGAAAACATAATCACGTATTCATCATTGTATCAAATTATATAGAATACTATTGGTTTTTAGTCCATTTTTGTAACTTTTTATCGAAATTTTTGCAAAAATAATGAATTTTTAAATAATTGTCTCTTACAGTATCAGACAAAAAGACATTCAGAGCTCTACTCTTTGAATTCCTGAAGAATGTACGTCAATAGTTGTTGCTGTTGTCGAGTTATTTAGCATATATCAACCCGCGTTTAATTTTGGCGTAGACATTAATAAAAAAAACAACTATAATTGATAATTCATCGTTATATTTAAACAAAATACGATATAGACTCTGATGATCAAGAAATTTTAATATGATCTCATCAAAATTCGTTTAAAACAAAAATATCGAACTGCTTGATACAATAGTCTATGAAATCAGAATATTTTTTCATTTCATACATTGTCCCGTAGAAAAAAAAAACATGAGATAATCTTAGAAACTAATATTCAGAAAAGAAAATAGCATATATAAGTTGTAGGCAAAATTGAGATTCAGGTCAATTTTTAATTTGTCTAGGCAAAATTGGAATTCTAGTTTTGCCTAGGCAAATAAAAAAATTGACCTGAATCTCAATCTTGTCTACAACATATATATATACACTTCTGTTTGAGACAACCGATACTCAAAATGCTATATAAGATATCACTCATGGCAACAAATAGATGAAATTTTATTGGTAGAAGATATTCCATTGAATTTTTACTGTGACCTCTCTACAGCGACACAGACATGTCAAATTTTTCAAATTAATCAAATTAGATTTTCTAAATATATATTTTCCAAAAAAGAAGTTTTCCGATAAAATTAACTTTATTATCGAATCCATATTTTACCTTGTTCTCATATGTTTGCTTCCTACCGTCCACAAACTACTAAATTTACGTCGGCGACACTTTAGATATTCTTCCTTTTCTATTTTATACGCCTTCGTCAGTTTGTTTGCATCATTCGTGTTGTTACTGACTCATTTTGTTAATTCTTGTTTAGATGATGAATTGAAACATGTTTTTTTTTACGTTATTGAAAAACTCATTTCTTTTGGAATTGAACTTGCACTTGAAATTGAAATAATTTCTTTTTTTTAAATTCGTTTTGTAGATTTATATATAAAAATTCATCATGCCTGACAGTAAATTATATGACCTACTTGGTGTTTCACGTAATGCAAGTGATCAAGAAATAAAAAAGGTTTGTTAATTAACAAAAAAAAACTACAAAGAAGTTTTATATTGATTTATTTTTTCTTAAGGCATATCATAAACTTGCTAAAACTCATCATCCAGATAAAAATCCTGAATCAGCTGAAAAATTTAAAGAAATTTCATTTGCTTATCAAGTTTTAACCGATGAAAGTAAAAGACAGATTTATGAGTAAGAAATTTATTTATTTATAATAGTTCATAATAACTTTTTTTTTTGATTTAAATAGTATGTATGGTCTCGAAGGTCTTAAAGAAGGTGGTGGTGGTGGTGGTGGTGGAGGTTAGTATTATAATATAATCAAATTTAAATACTCAATGACACCTAGATGAATTTAGATTCATACTTAGATCTAATGTTTCATATCGTTTATATAATTTGTATTTATAGTTTATGAAAATTCGATTTACATATATCTATATTCAAATGTAGCTTCGTAAAATTTGAACTCAAGTAATACTCGAGATATTAAGTTTACAGTTGATAACAATAGTTTTCAATAGAATAGATATCATTTCGATATAATAAATAATTAAAATTATGAATTAGATATAAACAAGACTATCAACAATAGAAAGTATTTTCTCGTGTTAAAAAGTTAAAATTTTTTTTGAAAGTCTTATAATTAATAGTTTTAATAGAAAAATCGATGGTTTTTCCCGCCAGATTATGTCTAGAAAGAAATTTTTTGTTTATTTCTCAGCAAAATTTTTTGTATTAAATTGAATAAATGTATAATATTCAATGAACAATTAATTTTTTGAACATTATTGAAATATTTTGTTTAATTTTTTATTAAAATAAAATATAAAATGAATTTTTTTATTTAGGTAGTATGGCTGATATTCTTGGCCAATTTTTTGGTCATAACGATCCATTTGAAGGTTTTGGTGGATTCGGTGGTCTTTTTGGTGGTTCTATGGGTGGAAGAGGTCGTAATCGACGACGTAAAGGTGATGATGTCGCTCATCCACTTAAGTAAATATTTTTATTTATTTTAATTTAATTTTAATGAATTAAATTAGAGTTACACTTGAACAACTATACAAAGGAGAAACACGTACACTTGAAATATCTCGTAGAATTATTTGTAAAGCATGTAATGGGTAAGAAAATAAAAATAGTAATCAATCTTTTTTTTTACACCCTAAATCATTCTATAGTAATGGTGGACGTGAAGGTGCCAAACAATCATGTTCAGGATGTCGTGGTCAAGGTATTCAATTTATAACACGACAAATAGGTCCAGGTATGATTCAACGAATGCAACAAGTTTGCAAAGAATGTAATGGAGAAGGTGAAATAATCAATGAACGTGATCGTTGTAAAACATGTAATGGAAGAAAAACAGTTGAGGAAAAGAAAAAACTTGATATCGTTATATCACCTGGTAACAAAAAGAAATAAGAAATTATTTTTTTTTTTGTTAAATGTAAATATTTAATTTAGGTAGTAAACATG